TTTAAATGATAATCTTGCCAGATGAAGTAATCTTGGTTCCAGGCCCTTCTGCTTCATTGCATTAAATACATCATGCCACTACCTTCTGGCCTGTAAGGTTTCTGCTGAGAAATCTGATGTTAGCCTGATGGGCTTTCCTTTGTATGTGATCTTATTTCTCTCTCTGGCTGCTTTTAATCACCTGTCCTTATCCTTGATCTTTGCCAATTTTATTACTATGTGTCTTGGTGTTGTCTTCCTTGGGTCCCTTGTGTTAGGAGATTTGTGGATCTCCATGGCCTGAGAGACTATCTCCTTCCCCAGATTGGGGAAGTTTTCAGCAATTACACAAAGGAAGAATAGTCTTGTTCCTGCTGGCATGGCTCTAGTGGACCATCCCTGTAGCCTAGCATTTTCATGTGAAGTTAGGAGGCTATTCTGCTTGTCTAAAGTAGAGGGATCGCATGGTCTCCCAGAGTTAAAAGTAGTGGATTGTATGCCTGCCAGGAAAGGAACTAGTAAAATGAGGGTTAATAGTAATGATGGCATGTTTAAGGCCATTTTTTTAAAGATTTAAACTTAATAGGGGCAGAAATAACCTTGGTAATAACCAGTGTTTTCAATTGGTCCTGTTACAAGGAAAGGAGTTTCTTATTGGACTTATGCAAATAAAAGTATTGCCATAAAATAAGAAAATAGTCACTGAGAGTTTCTAAATTCTGGAGGGATCTGGTAGAGAGAGAAAGATAAATGTTATAAGTTTGCTTATAAAGGTATAGTTTACTAAACTGTTGTAAGCTAGCTTAAGAGAAAAAGTTTAAAATAGGGTTTTGTTTAAGAGATTAACAATATTTGAAACAAAATGTTATGGAAATTAAAATTATCCTCTTTACTCAGTTTTAGGTATTTTCACTTTGCTTGAATCTAGGTTTTTCACTAGTTCTGTAATAAAACAGCAATTATAAATGATAAAAGACTTAGAAATGGCTATGGTTAACACAACTGACAAGAAAACTTGGTTATTTCTGTAACATAACAGTTTAATAATCTAAAGTTTAGCATCATTCATTTGACAGTGGTTCCCAAGTAAATTGCATCTTAAATGTATAAGCCAAATTAGCCAAATTTTTCCCCAATGAGGAGAAAAAATTCCTCTGACATATTCCAGGGGCCCTCTGGAAAATATCAGAGTTAAGTAGAGGTAAAAGCACCTTTTTGAATTTGGTTTTAGGAAGTTGTCAAAAGAAAAATTTTAAGGCACTTTCTTAAATAAGATTATAAGTTGTTAAATAAACTATTTAGTTACTCATTAACCAAAGTGACAATAAAGAATTTTAAAGGCAGATACAGAGGGTCACATAGTTGTTAGCAAAACATAGCTTTTAATATTAAGATTTTTGTCTTTTTGAGTATGCAAACATATTACTGAGACATTAAGTACAAGAATAAGCTGTTATAAACTGTTATACTATCATGTCTTTATGCACAGTAGGAAGAGGTTTCTTCCCACAGAGCATTTTTATTATTATAATTTCCATTTGGGCCTACTGAGCAAACAGCAGTTCAATGGGAAACTGTATCAGACAAGTGAAGGCTGCTAGTAAACTTACAAGCCTCTTTAATAACCTTTATGCTCAGCTAAGGTCAGTTTTAAGCTGATTGGGGCAGAAGTAAAGTAGGGAGAGGAGCAAAGAGAGGATTGTATCAAGTATTCCTGGTTGCCCATCCAGGAAGGAATAAATGGGTTAGAGAGCCCAGCGTCCCAGGGTCTGTCCTGGAGGTCTCAGCATCCCAAGACCTGAAAAGGCAGGCCTGTTTTCAGATGTCTCCGATAATAGGGAAGAGGACAGAAGTCCTGTCGTGGCTTCCTAGCTTAGGGCTGAGGAGGAATAAGCAAGCGAGAGAAAGGCTTATGAGAGAACAGTGGAGGTGCAAGTGCAGAGGAAATGGGAGAATAGGATTCTAGGATAGGGATTTTTCAGGGAAACTTCCATCTCTATATTTGCTGAGTTTCAATTGGTTAAGGTTTTGGCAGTAACTAAAGGTGCCAGGGTAGAGGTGGAAGAAAGGAAGAGAGGCGGCTTTTAACTGAGCTCTTAGAGTCACATAAAGGGAGTGGTCTGGCCAGGCAAGCCTCCTGGAGATCTGGGAGCCTCATCAGGGGACACTAGGAGGTTAAGGTCCCTGGGGAGCATCTCTGGTTGCCTGGGCTGAGGGAGGCAGCTGTGAGGGGAAAAAAATGCTCTGCTGAGAAAGAGGTTTTGGCCCTAAGTTATGTGCTCTTGCAGGCTGCAGGCTAGACCAGAGAGGTGAGTTCTCAGTGGGAGGTCAGAGTTAAGTGGGAACTGCAGATCCCAAAGTAAAAGTCTGTTTCCTTCTAAATGGGAAATAGAGAAAATAGAGCAGACATGACGATAGAAAGAACTTAGTGCAAAAGAGACAAAGGGTCATAGAATAAAGGCGAGTGAGAAGGCTTTTAGCTCTTGCAGGGAGCTGTTGGAGAAGAGGAGAATAAAGGGAGAAATCTCCTGGCTGCTCTGGGTGACATTCCCCAGGACCCAATCGTGACCTGCCTCCTAGGGAGGGGTTCCCCGCAAGGCAGACACATGTGGGTGCTGCCTCCAGCCCAGTCTAGTGGACATCTCATGGCCAAGGAGATCATGAGATGGGGGTCCCTGGGGTTTGCCCCAATTAGCTGACCAGCAGATAACACAAAAAGCTTGGAGGAAGAAAGAAAAGAAATGCAGCGAGTAGGAGAAATCTGAGAATAAAGAAAAGGAAGTCTCTGTGTGGACATATTAAACCCTAAGTGGGGACTTGCTGCAGGATGGGAAGTGGGTGTTTTACAGTGTGTCTCCGTTGCGTGGACATTGTCTTGTGGTAGGCGGGGTGCCTAATACAATCTTCCCGGTCCACGACCAACTTATCTTGTCACTGGAGTCTTACGGCGAGCACCCTGTGGACTTTACTGCTCGACCCATGCCCAGAGTGCTGCTGTTTTAGCCCGCGAGAGACAGAGAAGGAAGGGAAGGATTCTAAGAGAAGAGGTAGATAGTGAGTGAGGGAGGGCCTCCAGCCAGGGGGCGAGGCACGCGTGGCTCACCGGGGGTGGAAACCCATAGGACTCAAGGAGTCACACAGCACCAAATATGTTGGTGATGATGCTGAGTTTCTTGTTTGCAGAGTCAAAGAATGAACTTAGCAAACAGGCAAGGTTGGAGAGCCAGGGAGAGGCTTTTATTTAGAGATACAGTGAGAGAGTAGAGCTCCTGGCTCATGCCAGGAGGGGACGAGAGAGTCCATCCGCAGTGGTGCGTTGTCTAGGGGTTTTATTTATAGGTAGTTGAGAGACAAAGAGCTTGGGATGCAGACCCGCCAAATGGTCTCTAAATGTTTATCTTTGAAGAGACACTAAGTTTCTTAACAGTTTTCTAGACTATTTTTCAGAGTTAACATAAGAAATTTACTGCTTTGATTCTTTCCCAGAATAGCAGTTTCTTGGTTCGGGAGCATATCAATCAAGGCTGCTTGTCTTGCTCTCAAGGTGGGCTGAGTTATTGTCTGTTCGTTAAAAGTAAGTTAAGAATCTTACTTCTTAAATTCTTGGGTGTTAAAATGCAATCTTACCTTTAAGATGAAATCCTTCCTGTCCTTCACTATGTTGTTTACGCCTGGGCCTGCCTGCTCTATTAATTGCCCAGGTTATATATGACTTGATTAGGGCTGGAGGAGGAAAAGCAGCATCTGGGCAAAGTTAAAGATAAATTGGGCTTTTAGCCGCTAAAGTAAATTTTACAATAGCCTCATTTCATTGACACAAACAAGACACGGCCTATGCTGAGGCATTTTCTTATCTGCGAGATGTTCAAACATTCCAGGCCAAGTTACTCCTGGCTTTTTAGTTTTAACTAATCTTCACTGAAGAATGCTTATATTCCTAGTTTGATATTTTACTTTAGAGAATTAATGTGACTCTGTCTTTGCTTAATTGTTTAATACGAAGTTTTGGTAGGGCTTTTTCCAGAGGCCCTCCCTTCTCTGACTTCACCCATGGTCCCTGTCTCAGTGAGAGAGATCGGTTCTGCTTACTGGGGATGGAAATCCTTCCGAGGTGTGGCACCAAATATGTTGGGGGAGTGTTGTGTATTTTCCTCGGTCCTTGTTCCTACCAACAAAGAATTGAAGAGCAGAGACACAGCAGTGAAGCAGAGTAAAGCTTTATTTAAAGCTACTTAAAGTGAGAAAAAGTGCAGCAGGCATCCTCAGCAAGGAGAGGTGCCCTGAAAGGTTGGAGAGAAAGAGTTTAAGATTAAAAGGTTACACACTTAGAAAGTGTGGGTGACCTCAGAGAGAGGAGCACCAGGGCTACTTTCTTAAGTGCTACATTCAGCCTCTCTAATCATCTGTGATGCTGCAATCCTTGAAAAAGTAATGCTGTCCTGGCAGCATGCAGGTTTATTATTATTCTTTGGTGAGCACCCAGGTGGTCGGGAGCAGCCCCGCCGATTTGAGAAAACCCTCAAAAGCCAGAAGTAGCACCTCAGCAAGCAGGAGTGGAGGGCAGGGAAGGGAAGTCCCTCCCGTAGCACCAAGGGACTTTGATGGGACATGGAAGTGTGGGATGTGGGTAGTGAGGTGGTGAGGGGTTCCCTGGGAGGAAGACAAGAGGTGTCAGGAGGCTGGGAGGGGGCATTCATACAGGGTTTGTAGGTCGGGGTACTGTCTCACGTGCACACGTGCACGCACACGCACACACACACACATGAACACACACACACATCTGGGTCTTGGCCCCTTCTATGGCCATCTGGCTGTAATACCTTTCCCATCACTTTTCCTGACTGACTCTTACATAATCTCCAGGGATCAGCTGGGCCAATTGGGAGCTGATTATATTGTCCAGAGAAAGGCTGCTGGGGACAGGGTAAGAGCAACACCAGGCTGCCCCTATGGTACCCAGGAGACCTGGCCATTGGTCCCCAGTCCCCACTACTCACGGGCAGGATGCTTGACACCCACAGGTAACATGTTTCGAAACTGCACACAGCATGGCTGGTCGGAAACCTTCCCCAGGCCTGACGTGGCCTGTGGGGTCAACGTGAATGACTCGTCCAATGAGAAGCAGGTAAGCCTGTTGCCCCTCCCTTGCTTGAGTGGGGCCTGCAGGGTGAGAAGTCCCTGGGAGAGGACAAAATGGAGCCAGCCCAGGCCAAGGTCAGGTGACCTGGGAGCTACCTCTCCCACCCTCTGTCCCCTCCTCATCACCTGGGCTTCGGTGGCCTGCATCCCTGCCCTGGCCCATCAACCCAGAGATGATGGTCATGAAGAACTGCCACATGCCACCATGATGCTGGGGGGATTTAGCCACGAGACAGAAAGAAAAATGACGTGGTGGCTTAATAGCCAGAGCCAGGCTGGTGAGTCTGAACCCTGACTGCTGACCTTGGTGGGGGTGGGGAGGACTTAGCTTTTCTTCATCAGGGAAATGGGGTTAATAATAGTTCTGACCTTATAGGTGTGTTAAGAGAACCAAACAGTTAATCCATGGAGGTGTGAGAAGAGTGCCTGGCCAGAGAAAGTGCTCAGTAAATGGATGCTTTCTAAGGAGTCTCAGGCTCTGAGAGGCAGGAGCTCCCGGCAGGCTGCAGGGCAGGACTGGTTTGGGAGAGCACACTGTGAGCTGTGAGCTGAGCTTCTCTGGGTGCCTCCAGCAGCCCTCCCCAAGTAGCCGTCAGTTTCTGAGAGCCCTGCTGTCCTGACTGTTCCTGACTGATTCGCGTGCACACTTCAGGATTGCTCCCGCCCATCAACTCCAGAAAGCCCTTTTTGCCTGTCTGCCAGGAAGGGTTTCCGTTAATATGCTGCGTTGGTCTTCAGCTATTACCAGTCATATTATAATAATCATCAGCACATGCCATCTGCCTCCCTCTCTCTCACTAAAATATGAACTCCTCAAAGGCTTTGATTCATTCAACAAACATTTATTGATCACCTGCTGTGGGTCTGGCATAAGTCTAGGTGTGGGATACAGCAGTGACAAATCAGAAAGAGTCTTATTCATTTCCAGTCCCCAGTGCCCAGCAAATTGCCTGGCACCCCTCTGGGTGCCTCATAAATGTTTGTAGTTGTACTGAACATTTACCATGTACTGGCTGGTTAATGCATAACTACATTAAACCCTCAAAAAAGGTTCACTATAAGTTCACTATTTTCTCCATTTTTTAGTTGAGGAAACTGAGGCTCAGAGGGGTTAAGGAACATGCTTAGAAAGTCGTGGAGGCAGAATTTCAACCTATTCTTATGACAGGTGCCAGGATGGAAGTTCAAAAGGATGCTTTGGGCTGCAATTAACAGAAATTTCCAACTGGCTTAATAAGCAAATGTGGCTCACGTAACTGGGGGTGCAGACAACAGGCTCTTTAGTGAAGCAGCACATAGAAGCCACCGAGGACCAGGTTCTTTCTGTCTCTCCTCCTGCCATGCTGGCAGCTTCCTCCGGAAGCTAACACCTTTTCCATTGTAAGATGACTGCCATTGGCAACTGCAGTCCAGACTTCCTCCTCATGTCTGCTTGTCCACAGGGAGAGACAGCCTGACTCCCTAAGAGACAGAAAGCTTTTCTATCCAACCCCAGCAGCCTGTCTTCACATCTCATTGACCCAAAGTGACTGAGCCTGCCCATGCTGGGCTGTCCCTGACAGAGGAGTGGGATATGAGATTGGCGTAGGCCAGTGGTTCTCAAACTTATTGGCCATGGCCATGGGATACTTTTATACTCTTAAGAATTATTGAGGATCCAAAAAAGCTTCTATTTTTGTGAGTTATAGCTATTGAAACCATACAGGAGAACTGTTGGCTGGCATAGACTAATCAGCTAGGGGAGAAGGGAGCCCTGGACCTTAGCTGTGATATTCATGGTAGGGCTGAAAGTAAAATCCCAAAACAAGGAAATGAAATTTAACAGAGATAAATGTTAGTTCGAACTTAACTCAGAAATTGTCCAAAAACAGTGGAAAGGAGACCCACCTTGGCTTTAGCTCATGCACAAAAAAAAAATCTTAAAATTAAAGTCCCTAAGATTAGAAGGGTTTCCAGACTATATGATCCACTGGTCCACAAACTGGCGCAAACTTTGTTTTCAATTCTGAGATTTGACTCACTCTATTTCTTATCGCTTAAATGCCTTTTTCTTCTTTTAATCAAGTGATAGTGAAAGTATGTATTTGTGGCTTGTCTATTTCAACTTCCTCACTTGGCACACACCACTCTATTATTGCCAAATGTCAATAGTGGACACAGATTAACAGAAAGACCAGGCAGAGCTGCCACTTGGGTCAATAAAATGGGGTTTGCTTACCTAGAGCAGAGTTGTTAAACTACAGCCCTTGGGCTGAATCTGTCTCACTACCTGCTTTTGCAAATAAAGCTTTACTGAAATACAGTTATGCCCATTTGCACTACAAGGGGAGAGTTGGTTAGTTACAAAAGAGACCAAAAGGCATTCAAAGGCTAAAGTATTTTAGCCTTTGTCTGCCCATTTTTGGAGAAAGTCCGCTGACCTTGATCTAGAGGATAGAGAAGGAAGGTAGCCTAGGGAGGATACATAGCAGAGAGAGAGGCAACCTGATGGGGACAGAGAGCAGTGAGGCTTTGGGACTCCAAACCCTCTGGTGGGTAGTGCACAATTGCAGATGTCAAAGCCTGGAGCACTGAGGTCATATGAGTCCTCATCAGCGGGGTGGGGCAGCTCAAAGCCACATGGCAGTCATTCTACCACAGGTCACCTCCTGCTGTCGGGAAATCTGTGGTCCCTCTGAGTCAAATGTCTGGTAACTGCCCCCCACCAAAAATTCACACATTGTTATGTCTTCCTCTTCTACATGTCAGTCATCCTAATACTCTTCTTCTCCAAGATTGTTTCCCTCAGGGTGTAACGTACCCAGTTTTTGCTTGCAGTCTTATGATAACACAATCACTGTCCTCCAGAAATGTTCCAGTGTATTAATGTGCCTCTTAAAAATAACATGCCCATAGCTGGACAAGCCCCCCAAACATTCCCATGCTACCTCCTGCTCCACTCCAGTAATGTAATGAGAATAGGCCTGTTTGTTTTAGCAGCTACCTCCTACCTCTTCCTTCATATTGCAGTCTCTGGCCCTTTGGCTTATGTTCATGACTGATTGGGGTCATGAACAGAGGTGGAGGAAATTTAATAGCCACTGAGTGTCTTCTGAGTGCCAGGCATTGTATAGATACTCTACCTGATACCTTATTTGTTTTTCCAACAAGCCTGCAAGGTAGATATTATCCCCATTTTGCAGATGAGGAATCTGAGGCTCAGAGAAGTTACGTAATTTGCCCAAGGTCACACAGCTGGTGAGTAACAGTCCTGGGCTTGGAACCCTTGTTTCTCGGCTGTGAAGCCTGTGTTCTTCCTCTGCAGTATACTTCCTTAACACCACGGAGCTTAGGTCAGCAGACCTCAAGGTTGTTTTCTTATGAACAACTGTCCGATTTCTCCAATTCTATACTTGTGTCTGTTTTATTTTTTAAATTATCCTTTTCTTCTGTCTCTAAAATGCGACTTACCCACTGAAGAAAAATGGAAAGTGTAGAAAAAATACAAATGAAAATAACAACTCTATTCACAAACTTACCATCCAAGGTTACCCATATTAAAATATAACACAGTTTTGTTTTCTATGCATGTATGAGATTAAACCACATGAAATGGCCCATATTCAATAATTTTTGATCTACAAAAAAGGGTCATTTTATATAATGCTTTTTGAACATACAATGAGAATCACACTGTTCATGTAAACTTTGTATTCTGCCTTTCACTTAATGTTACATTCTTAGCATGTCCTGACATCTTTTAAAACTCTTGGTAAGCAGCATTTTAATGATGGTATAACATTAAAGTAATTTGGTTTTAAATAATTTAGTTAACTATTCTTCTCTTGTTGGATATTTGTGTGTTTTTCATTATAAATAGTTCTGAGATAAACATTTTTATACATAAATTTGCTTTTATATTTCTGATTATTTCATAGAATTAACTCCTATAGGTCAAAAAATGCATATTTCAAAGGTCCTTGATACATGCTACTTTCCAGAGAGAGTGAACCAATTTTTATTCTCACTATATCCTCAGCTGCATAGATATTATTACTGTTAAATATTTGTTAATCTGGCTGATAAAAAATGGTATGGCATTATTATTTTTTCATTTCCTTGATTATTTTTAAGGCTATTGTGCAATTTATTTTTTTCAACCTGAAAATGCAGGTCTTTACATTTATCTCTTTATGTCACATTGTTACATTCCACTGAGATCTTTTTGGATTAAAGAAGAGCCAATATGTGAAACGGCTACTTGATTTAGGTAAATGTCTGCTTGGCTGCATTAATATGAATACAGTGTCTAGATCAGGGGAAATGATGGTCCACTGTACGTCTTCCTGGTCAGAGAATACATCTGGAGCTTCTCAACTATCTAGTTCTGGGTGTCTTATTTAAGAGGGACATTGACAAACTGGAGCATATTTATTGAGCAGACTGGTGAAGGCCTGGTGATAGAGATTAAAGACACAGAGAACCTTTAATGCTGAGCAGGTAAGTGGGGGACAGATGGGCAGAAGGTCTGTATTAAGAAATGACAGGCCTATCTGTCTCATTTTCATAACTCTCCTGGAAGTCTAAAGCATTTCTCAAATGCAAAGTTTATTTTTAAAATAATGAGACATTATTTTAAAATAATAGGTATAAGGCAAATTCAGTTTCTTTTAAGTGGCTTGAGAAGCAGAAAAAGGACCAATAGATGCAGTTTTGAAAGTAATAGATTTTTAGTCTCACATGAGATAAAAATCTAATATTTTTCACAAATGTATCCAGAATTACTATGTCAAGAAGCAGTGAGCACTGCATCCCTGGAGGTATTCAAGCAAGTCTTGAATTCAGGGTGATGGCAAAGGGCTCCACACCTGGGACAGAAAACTTGCATTGTCGTCAGATGATCCCCATACCTTTTCCAAAGGCAAGATGTTAGGAGTCTGTGAATCAGTACCTGGGGGCATGAACAGCATAGCAGTCAGAGTTGAAACCATTCAAGCAGCTGGAAGCAGGTACACCCTGAGGCAGAAAAGGACAGAGCCAGCCAAGGCGGGCAGGTGGGGCTGACACATGCCTCTTTCTGCAGCACGAGTACCTGCTGAAGCTGAAGGTCATGTACACTGTGGGCTATAGCTCCTCCCTGGTGATGCTCCTGGTTGCTCTCAGCATCCTCTGTGCTTTCCGGTGAGAACACACTCCAGCTTGCCATCTCCCCAGCCTTCCCCAGGCGTGGACTTTGGGTCTCCTTTAATAGCTCAGGCCAAAGAGCAGGTCACTTTGTTACATCTGGGTCTAAAGCTTACCTGTGACAAAACAGTGAAGTTCTTGTGACCTAATTCATTCCATTATTCGTTCAACATTTACTGAGCATCACTAAGAACTTACTACACCAGTTGTTTCACATGTATTATTTCTAATTTTCACACAATGCTATGAGATAGGTATCATTACCCTCATTTCACAGGTGTATTAGCCAGATTCTTGTTTGCAAAAAACAGAAATCCACCTTCAACCAGCTTAAGAAGAACAAAGGTGACCTGACTCACATCACTGACAAGTTCAGGGACAACTGGCTTTAGGTATGGCTAGATCTAGGTGCTCAAAGGCATCAGCAGAGCTAAGTCTGTCTCCCTCCATGTCTGTGCTCTGCATTGGCCTCATCCTCAGGCAGGCTTTCTGCAGGGGTGGCAGAGACAACCACCAGTAACCACAAGAGTACATCCTACCAGCTCAGCAACACCAGGGCCAAGAGAGCCGCTTCCCCATTCACTTCAAGGAAAGGTCTGGGGGAGTTCTCATAGGGCCCACTTGGGTCACATGCCCACCCCTGACCTATCACTGCAGCCAGGAATGGAGTGCTCTGATTGGACAGGCCTGTTACAAGGTTGGGAGGGTGGAGTCATTCCTTACCCAGTGCCAAGAATGGGTTCCCCATAGGAAAGCCTGGTACCAGAAGACAGGGAACCAGCCACAGACTTCTGACCCCTATAGCAGAAGAGGAAGCCCAGGCTCTGGGAGGTGAAAAGGCTTGCCAAGTTCATGTAGCTAATGAGTGCCAGAGCCAGGGTCTGATTTCAACCCCCAGTCTGTGTTCTACCAGTGCTATTGGCCCCTTCCCTTCTGGTTGCCTGCCTCCTGCACCACCCACCCTTCTGAAGAATTCTGGGAGCTGGAGATGGTGGTAGATCAGGGCAGAACATAATCTTGCCCCTATCCCCCCAGCTTCTGTTGTCACAGCATGAGACAAAGTAGACCGGGCACCTGGGAGCCTGGATTCTCCTTCAGCTTCTGCTAACAGAGATGTGCGACCTGGAAAGTGCCCAGGACCTGGGCCTGGGTTTCCCCAGGACACTGGGGGAGGTGTATGCCTGGCTGATCCCCAACCCTCTGGTGCTGGCCCCTGCGGCCCCACATTCTCTCCCTCCAGGAGGCTCCACTGCACCCGCAACTACATCCACATGCACCTGTTCGTGTCCTTCATCCTGCGAGCTTTGTCCAACTTCATCAAGGATGCGGTCCTCTTCTCCTCAGATGAGGCAGCCTACTGTGATGTCCACAGGGTAACATACCTGCTATTCCAGGGCCTGGCTGGGCCTGCCTGCCTTACCCCATCTAACTGTGAACTTGGGTGGGCCTTCTGGGGAGTCCTCGCTGAGCCTGCACTTAATGCCCAGGGTAAAGGAGCCAGTGCTGGGGCTGAGACAGGAGGCTCAGGGAGGGCCCCATATCCCCACATCAACAGTCTGAGGCAAGCATAGGAGCAGTTTGCCTGGAAGCTGATGGGGGCTGCTATTCAACTCCTGGTGTTCAGGAGAGGACTGCCTGCTCAGGGACCTAGATGGATGGCAAGGGTCCTTTTTCCTTCTGCCACGTCCCAGATGTAGACAGATGGCCAAGTGTAGAGAGGGGGTTGAGGTTAGTTGTAGCAAGACAAGGGTGAGCATATGTCTGTATGCCTGCATAAGTTCACATCTGCACAGTCATGTTTTCTTAAACCTAACCCTCTTCCTCCTTCTGAATGCTCAGATGAGTCTAATTCATTGCAACATCACTTTGTGTATTGGTTGGGAATCCCTTTTGCAGCACATTACAGAAAACAGATGAGGGTAGTTTCCCACATGAGCAATCCACAGATGAGCAGTCCCGAGATGGCACGGAGGCTCCGTGATGCTGTAATAGAGAGTCATTTTCTCTTTCTGGTCTGCCCTCCCTGATTCCATGCTCTACACTGCATGTTTGCAGTATGGCTGCTGCAACCCCAGGCCTCACATCCATGTCCCAGACAAGGAGAAGGAAAGTCAAGATTAAACATTTTTTTCTCTTTGGGAGGCTTTGCCTTTCATTTTGGGAAAGAATGCTTGAGGCACCTATCTGTGTTTCATTGGCTAGAATTGTGTCATGTGACCACACAAACTGTAAAAGAAGCTGGAAATTCCATTTTTTTACTATCATAGTCTCCATAGCAGAGGCAAGCAAGGGAGAAAGGGATCAGAAATGAGACTGGGTCAGTCAGCCTGCCTGCCTCTTCCCACCACTCACAGCTCTGATTTCCTACAGATCTGTTAGTTTTTGTTTATAGTTTTCTGCATGTGTATGTGTGTTTTCTGACTCAGACTGAGAGGTCCCTCAAGTAGGGTCCATGTCTCTCTGAGAGATTTCCAGGAGGAAATAAAGGTACCAGACTGGTAGTCAGGAGACCTCAATTTAGGCTAACCCTCGCTGACCAGAGGTGGAAAAGTCCACAGTGCTCAGCAGGGAATCTTCTCGGGTTCTACTAAACACCAGACTCACAAGCCAACTCACGGGCTGCGCCTAGAATCAGAGTCTCTGGGAGCCATAGGGTGGAAGCCACCTCTGGCCAGCAGGGCAGCACCAGGCCTCCTCTGAGGTGTGACCTCACAGCAGTGTCCACAGCAGCCCTCAGGCCGTCCCAGGAGTTGTCTCCCTAGGGGACAGCTCAGTGAAAGGAAGGACACCCCCTCAGGGTGGATATAGGAGCTATAGAAGCCTCATGTCCCATAATCCCACAGGCCTAGCTCCCAGGGTTCCCAGCCCGTGGCCTCCCCATCAGTATTTAGAGATCAGTTCAGATGCAGTGTCCCAGGCAGGGAACATATTTTGCTCCAATCAGTGTTGCCTCCTCACACAGTTAGTCTGTCCCTTCTTCATCTGTGTATAGGGAAACTGAGTGTGGATTTAGTTAAGCCTTTGCTCAGAACTCCCTTTCCCTCTCTAGACCTCAGTTTTCTCATTTGAAATACAGAGGATTTGGGAGCTGGGCAATAGCTGACACAGTTTTATAACTGGCTGCCAACACCAGAACTTGAGTACAGTTTCTGCTTCTGCAGTGGCCCATTAACTCTGACAGAGCCTGCTGGCTTGTGGATGTCTACTCTCCTGCTGGCTTGTGGATGTCTACTCTCTAGAGAACTCTGTGGGCCTGGTCTTCTGACAGTGGGAGGCCAGTGGGGATGGCCTGGTCCTTGACCCCTAAAATACCTGTCACTTCCACTGGGGCTGGTGGCCAGAAGGGAAGCTCACAGCTGCCTGGCCTGAGGCTCACCTGCCTCTCTCTGTCCAGGCAAGCTGTAAGCTGGTCATGGTCTTCTTCCAGTACTGCATCATGGCCAACTACACCTGGCTGCTGGTGGAAGGCCTCTATCTTCACACGCTGCTCGTCATCTCCTTCTTCTCAGAGAGGAAGTACCTCTGGGGGTTTGTCTGCCTCGGCTGGGGTATGTCTCTGCATGGGTGTAAGGGCTGTGTGGCAGGTGGGAAAGGGTGTAGGCTCAGAGGCTTTGGTTTCTAGTTCCAGCTCCATACTTAGTTAAATTAATTAACTGTGCAATCTTAGACAAATTGCTTGATGTTTAACTCTCTGGCCTCAGTTTATGCATCTGCCAAATTGGAAATAATAGCTAAAATGTAGACCCGATTTCTGGCATTCAAAGCCTTTTACAATTTGATAGCACCCAACATTTGCTGCCTCATCTTCTGTAGACATTCTGTTTCATATGCACTCATTCTTGCTTCCTTTCTATATCAGTTAGGGTGCCTTTGACTGTAGTTATCAGAAAATCTGCCTTAGACAGGCTTTAAACATAAAAGACATTAATTGGCTCATATAAGTGAAAAGTCCAGGGATTACTGACCTCTGGGGAGGCTGAATCCAGGTGAGGCTTGACAACGTTTCTTTCTGTCTTTCAACTTTGTCCTCTGTAGAAAGCACCAGCTTTATTGCTGGTGTTCCTAATGTGACTGCCAGCAGCTTCTGAGAGACAAGCTATTTCCCAGCATTCCCAGGAAATATTCTGAGGTTCAGCTGATTGGCCCAGCTTAAGTCTCTTAGGAAACTGGAACCTATCACTGAGACCTGAGAGAATGGAATACACTAATTGGCTTAAGCTACTCAAAGCACATGACCTCCCAAAGGAAATTCAGGATTCAGTTTCTATGAAGGAGGGGAAAAGGCAACAAGACAGCCAACTGCAGGCCCTGTTACATCTCTTCTCCCTTTTTTTACTGATCAGTGAAGATGATATGAACCCCCATTTCTTGAGCACTTGCTATTTATATCCAGGCATTGTGCTCAGCACTTTGCACGCATTATTCAGTCATCACAACATCCATGGCCGTTCAGAGGAACCGTGGCTCAGAGATGTGACATAACGTACTCAACAAGGCAGACCCAGTATTCAAAGCAAGGCCTATTTCCAAAGCCCCTTAACTCTTATTCTGCCATTAACAAATACACATCCTTCCATTCATCAAGTGTTCATTTGATAAGCATATATGTAAACCTACTGGGTTCTAGAAAGAGAGCCAGGTTCCTGTGAGTGACTCAGATTACAGGGATAGCGTGTGTACCAGCTGTTGGGCTCATTTGCTTTCTTCTTGGTCCCTTTAATTAAGAAGTGCCTCTGCCAAGAAAGCCCTTGCTATCTTTTCTGCTTGTCTAAATCCTTACGTGCAAGGACCCTATCTCCTCACCTGACCATCAGGGGTGTCACCTGAGCTGGCTGAGCTTGCTGAGCTCTCTTGCTTCTGAACTTTGGCAGCCTGATTAGCACATGACCCTTGGCTGGCAGGAGCTGTAGGGCTCACAGATCTCAGGATTTTTGCATAGGCCTGTGTCCCAGAGTGCTGCGGGATGCAGAACTTGCTCTCTGCTGCTGACTCTGCCCAAACCACCCAGTTTGGAGCCCAACGCACTGAGCCCTGACTCCCAGGTCAGCCAGCATTTTGCTGTATGAATATGGAGAGTTTCATCAAGAACAATATCAGATCATAATTTACTCAGCTTTCTTTGAGCACTTGTTTGTGCTCAGAGGGGCTAGTTGAAATTAAAAAATAAAAATAAAAAGAGTTCCATCCTTCAAAGGGTTTGTAGTCTCAGCAGGGGCAGAGTTGCACAGTGATATCTCTTTCACAGGATTTTAGGAGGTTTAAATAAGACAGTACATAACCTAGCAGCTGTTCCTTGCCTCTGGGCCTCTTTGCCTACACAGCCCAGGAGATCAGGAAGAGGCTCAGGAAGATCTAAAGTCTTCCATCTGAGAGAAACCTTTCCCTTGTAAAATCAGAGGTCCTTCCTGCCTTTGTACTCAACTTGTCTCCCCAGAGATAGGTTGCTTGAATGAGTATGCACCCACTGTAAAACTTTGCAAAAAAAAATTTTTTCAGTAGGAAAAAAAAGTTACCCTAGTACAATCTATTGACCATTTTCTGGGGTTTTCTTCTAAGCATTTTTTTCCTGTTCAGTTCTTCCCCACATAGCTGTGGTCATTCTGTATGTAGAATTTTGAATCTTGCTTCTTTTCATTAACACGTATGTATACTCTGTATTCTTTCAACTCTTCTGTAAACATTTTTAACTACTCTGAGGTTGTATTTAACCAAATACCTGTCATTTAGACATTTAGGTTATTCCTAGTTTTTCACTGTTGTAAGTAACACACAGATGAATACTTTTATGGGCAAAGCTTAGTCTGTGTGTAATACAGAATCCTAGAATTGGAATCACTGAGTTAGAAGGAGTGAACACTTTTAACGTTTATAATACACAGCCGAAGCTTTCATTTTTTCAGAGTAGCTGGGGTGTTAGTCTGTGTACAGAAAAAGGTGATAAGACTGCTGGCTTTTATGGGGCTGAGCGAAGCTCCTGCTCACTGAGTGAATTTCAATTGGTGGTTCTCCAAGTGGAACCACCATCAGATCACAAGAAGGGTATGTCAAACCCAGCTGGCTGGGCCCCCCCCCACCAGAGTCTTGGAGCCAGGGGTGGGGCCAGAAACTCTGCAATTCTACTAAGGCCCCAAGTGACCCCAAAACTTCTGGTCCAGGGACCACATTGAGAGCCCTGACTCAAGCCATTATCACTTTTTCACACTTGCCCATGAACTCCCTGTTAAAAGATGAAAAACAATGAACTGGTGGCCTTCAGGATCCACGTTGTTTGCCCAAAGTACCCAAAATTGAGGCAGGGAATCTTTTAAAATATTGTTATTTTTATCACAGTCATGCATATACTGGTTAAAAGAATTAACTAGGACTGCAAGGCTTATAATGAAGTAAAGTAGTCTCCTGCCCCACTTCTGCTCCCCAGAAGTAAAACCCTTCAGTTTGTTAGCTGTTCCTCCTAATATTTACTCTCATGTTTCTAAATAATATTCTACTATTGCTTGATTTATCCATCTGAGGCATTATTTGTTGAGTCCTCATGGTGGAAGATAAGGATATAAAATTCTTTATTATCTCTATCCTCCCACCAGAGTTTTCCACAATTTTTGGTTAAATCATATTCAACATATACATCATTATGTCTATGTAAGTATTGTTTACTGCTGAGCCAAGTGGTGTATAATTTTACTTCCAATATTTAACTTCTTATTTTTCATGGAGTCATTTTTCATTATTAATTTTTTTATATTGCTGTCATCAATTTTCCCAAATTCTCCAACAGAACTGGAAAACCCTCCAATACTATATATTTTTTTATTTGGTATCATTAATCTACAATTACATGAGCAACATTATGGTTACTAGACTCCCCCTACAATGCTATTTTCATATATCATCAAATCATCAAATGCAACAGGAAATCTATTTGTTTCTATTCATTTGGGTCTTTCTGCTGTATTCCTTTCCTAGGGCTGCCAGAACAAACTGTCACAAACTTGGTGGCTTAAACAACAGAAATTTATACTCTCACAGTTCTGGAGGCCAGACGTTCAAAATCAAAGTTCTGACAGGGTCGATTCCTCCTGAGGGCCCTGAGGGACACTGTCCCACACCTCTCTCCTAGCTTCTGGTGGTCGCTGGCAGCCCTTGGGGTTCTTTGCTTGTGACTGCATCGTTCCAGTTTCTGTCTTTACATGGCTTTCTTCCCTCTAAGTCTCCTCTCCATGTCTCTCATGGCCTTCTTCAAAGGATACCAGTCATATCAGATTCAGGTCCCAATAGACTGGCATTCCTTCAAAGTATGGCCTCATCTTAACTAATCACACCAGCAAAGACTTTATTTCTATGTAAGGTCACATTCTAAGGTTCTGAGTAGGTATGAATTTTGGGGGGATACTATTCAACCTAACATACCCACCAATGTTCTTTCCAGAGCCTTCTGCCCTCCTATTGTATTTGGGCTGGTTGTTCTCTAGACTTGCTCAACTCGCTTTGCTGAGAATTGCCTTCATTCTCCTCCACAAATCCTACTTCTGGGTTTCTTATCTCCCTCTAGTTTACTCTCAAGTTGTGTTGGAGCATATCCTCCTGCAGCTAACAGAGTGCGTGAAAGGTAGATTTTTCTGCATTGTATATCTGCAAATATCTTTGTTCAACTTTTACACCAAATTTATAGTTTTTCTGGGCATAGAAATTAGGTTGAAAAATCATTTTCCTCCAGAATGTTGAAGGCCTTCTGTTTTGGCATCTAGTAGTATGGAATGTACCATATTATTTTGCTTCTTCAGCCATTTCACTCTTGTCTGCATAAGCAGCAGGATCTTCTATCTCCTGTTTTGAAATGTCTCAGGGATGTGCTCTCATGCAAGCTGTTTCATCCTTTCTTGCTGGCATCTGGTGGCCCTTTCATCTGGAAACTCACATCCTTCATTTCTTGGACAAAGTTCTTATCTATTCAGTCATTTCTTTCCCTCTGGCTTTTGTCTACTCTTTCTGAAACTATTGTTGCACAGCCTAGAATTGACCTCTAATTTTCTCACTTCTTTCTTTGTGTTTTTCATTCCATTCTTTGTGTTCTGCTTCTGGATGATCCCTAGCCTTTATCTTCCAACCCATCTGTGGAATATTTTATTTTGGTTATCATGCATTCTAAGCGCTCTTCCTTGTTCTCTGAATGCTCTCTGTTTTCAGCATCCTGTTTACCTCTTGCCCATGTAATCTTTCAATTCTCTGAGGTTATTCCTTAAAGAGTTGTTTTGTTCTCCTATAGCCTGTATGGTCTATTTCCTTTGAGTTGCTTTTTTTGATTGTTTTACTCTTTGTTCATGTAATCAACTTCCCTCAGATGTCGGTGACCTTGACTGTTCATATTTAAGAATAAGTCACTTCAAAACTGACTGAAGGCCCTGTGTGGAGGGCAGGGCATGCCTCTCGAGGGAAACTGGGCGGGAAGGGGCTGCTGTGTGTGGGGTCCCTGGTGTTGCTGCCTGTGGGCCCTCTGTCTGCTCACCGTTTATTTAATCTCCTGCCTGGTGGGGAGTGGGGGAGCTGCAGTAAGGGTGGAAACCCGGCTGCTAGGGGTCTGGAAACTGAGCAGCCTGTGGGTGGGGCTCTTACCATTCAGCATATAGATGAGCACTTCTGTTGGAAATAAAATCTGGGCCACATGTATGATTTAACATTTTCTGATAGCCACAGTAAACACGGTAAAAAGAAACAGGTGAAGTTAATTTCAATAATATATTTAAATCAATAAAACAAAAATTATCTTTTCAACATATAAATAATAAGAATATGTTAACATATTTTACATTATTTTATTACCACTAAATCTTCAAAATCTGGGCTCCACCTTGCATTTACATCACATCCCCTTGGGACCAGCCACATATCAAGTACTCAGTAGGCACATATGGCAAGTGGCTGCCCTACTGGTAGCACAAGCACGCCTGCAGACCATTTTACCTCTTCTCTGCTCTGCAGAGCTCCTCTGGACTCTGGCTCAGGCTCCCAGGAGACCTCCAGTTCCTAGGGGTCTTCAGGATCCGTCTGATCCTGCCTCAGTTCCCAGAGCATCCCTGGCACCCTTAAAGCACAAGGCTGCACGTTTCACCCAGGATTTACAAGGGGGTTTCCACAGCACCTGCCCACTCCCTGGCATCTGGTGGCCCTTTCATCTGGAAACTCACATCCTTCATTTCTTGGACAAAGTTCTTATCTATTCAGTCATTTCTCATAGGGTTTCTCATAGGGTGTTGAGAACTGAGTCTTCTCACTCTGCCCCTCCTTTTATTTTTAACCCTCAGGTTCCCCAGCCATTTTTGTTGTTTCGTGGGCTCTCACCAGGTACTTTCTGGAAGATGTTGGGTAAGCTGTTTGAAGTAGAGGTAACATAAGTGTGTTTTATATTATCCAGTTCTTCAAACAGGATGGACACTACTTTGGCATTTTCTGGGAGAGACCTGTTTCTCACACTGGGGGCCACAGGCTACTTCTCTGGAGCACCCAGCGCTTCCTGGGTGGGGGTTTGCTGGTGGGCTGAGGCCCCCACCATGCCTGTCTGCTCCTTCTCTGGCTGCCCTCTCAGCTCTGTATCAGCTCAGGAGCCAGAGGAGCTGCGAAATGCCAGCCAGGTGCTACTCAGAGAGGAAGCTCTACTCAGAGAGGAGGTTTCCTTCCTCCTGGGATCTCCTGCTCAGCATCTCCTTCTGCCCTGGCATTTCAGAGGCCCCTACAGCCAGTCGCAGGAGAGCAGCAGCCTGTTCTCTGTCCAGATGGGACAGAGACCTAGTCTTACTCTCTAAAATGGGAAGTGGCTGGAGGTAAGCCCAGGGGGCCTCCTGGGAGGAGGCAAGCGAAAGAAAGCTTGAAAGAAGCCGGGGAGGAAGTGAGACAACAGTGCGAGGCCATTTCTCATCTGCACAGATAAGACAAGTAAGTGGACTAGGCTGGGTGAGGCTCACAAGTGTCTTGCGGTCTAAATTCAGCCCAGAATATTTTTTCAAAATAATGTTTTTAATTGGGTGAATTCAGTTTTTATTTTCAATCTGGATTTTCATCTTCTCCAGAAAAAATGGAAAGTTCTACCAACATTTCCCATTTTCCCTGACTCCATGGTGGCCTGAAATTCCACCTTTATTGTTCAGATCTTTGGGCTTGATCATTTTTCTTGACATCTTCTTGTTAAACTAGGAAGAATCATAGGAGTCAGGCTGGGGAATGCTGAGTGAGGCTGTGTTCCTGGGCCTTTGTAGCGCCATGAGTAGGGGTAGGCCTGGGTGGGTGGCCCCCAGGGAAAAGATACAGGAGTGACTCTTGTGGGCAGGGAGCAGAGGGTCTCAACTGTGGCTGCCCTTTAGAATCACCTGGAGCTTTAAAAATACTGTAGACAAAATCGGCTGGAGTGAAGTTGGGGCTGAAGTAGACCAGGCGCATGCTCTGCTCTTTGCCAAGTACCTGCCATGCCCCATGTCCCAGGGGTCCTGAGGTCACATGTCAGTCACCCAGCTACTTGCTCACTGATGCCACCTGTCTGGCTGCTGTTGGCAACTGAGTTTGCTGCTGGGCTACCTTTGGGATCTGGGATTTTTCTGGTTCTCAGATTCCCATGCCGGCTCCCCTAGAAGCTCATGGAGCATGCATGGAGACAGGGGGCCTCTCCCTAGGCCTCAGCAGTGCCCCTGGACGGCAAGAGAGGGTTAGCTTTAGTGGTGCTGAGCACATAGCCCCAGAGTTCAGGACCACATCATGGGGCCTTCATATGAAGGGCTTCTCAGGGGACTACGCTTTCTGGCCATCCCAGCTCTCTGCTCCTAATCATGCCTGGCTGTTCCTCCATAGGTGCTGGGACATCAATGCCAACGTGTCTGTCTGGTGGGTCATCCGAGGGCCTGTGATCCTCTCCATCCTCGTGAGTGGCTGTCCTTCCCTGAGCTGGATCCCAGGGGAAGAGATGGAACAGTGACTGGCCTGTAGGGACAGGGAGCCAAGGAACAGGGCTGGCATTCTTCCCTCTAGGTGCGGGAAGGGATAGACTACAGAGCTTCCAGAGCCCAGCCCGTCCACCAATGACAGGTGGAGGGAAGTGAGGTGAGGAGCAGGCAGGAGGCAAGAGCTTACATAACTTGCTCTTGTCTATGAGTAGCAGTGAAATGTGGTGAGCAGAGCTCCTTGTCCTAAACTGGCTGACTCCGTGTTGGCCTGAAATTCCACCTTTATTGTTCAGATCTTTGGGCTTGATCATTTTTCTAGACATCGTCTTGTTAAACTAGGAAGAATCATAGGAGTCAGGCTGGGGAATGCTGAGTGAGGCTGTGTTCCTGGGCCTTTGTAGCGCCATGAGTAGGGGTAGGTAGGGAAAAGATACAGGAGTGACTCTTGTGGGCAGGGAGCAGAGGGTCTCAACTGTGGCTGCCCTTTAGAATCACCTGGAGCTTTAAAAATACTGTTAGCCAGAGATTTGGGGATGGGCCTGGGACTGGGTACTTGTCTTATTTTTAAGTTCTCAGGTGCTTCTACTTTGCAGTCAGGGCTGGGAGCCCCATGGCTGAGCCTGTGGGTATGGATAAGAAGAAGGGAGGCAGAGGAAGGAAGGCACACTGGGGTTGTCTCATGGATGGAATCCACCCTCAGTTCTGCACAGGGCAGCCTGCAGGACCAGCTGACAGCAAGTGCCCTTCATGGGCTCGCTGAAGAGCGCTGGGCTCAGGGCAGGGCAGTAGCCCCTGCACATCCACTAGCTGATTGGGGAACTGGCCTTCTGGGGCCAGTTGTGGGGACGGGACCATCCCATGACCTTTTGTTTTTTCCCTTTGATGGTAATAAAATTAATGTAAAAAATAGGAAGGTACAAAATGTGTTTTTTAAAAGGGAATAAAATCATCCATACTTCTGGCACAGAGATACACATGTGAACTTTCCTTCCGGTCTTTTTCTTGACCATGCATACTTTTTTATTCAAAAGCTTAATGTAGTTTTGTGTCCTGGTTTGTTTGCTTGTTTCACTTAGTGATAGATGTGAGCCTTTCCATGTCATTTGAAAATATTTGACCAACTGCAGTGCTATGGCTGCATAATATTCCCACAGGGGATATTTCCTTAGTTCGTTAAGCCAGTGTCTTTGTTGTAATTCTGGGACTCTCACAGCCCAGCTGGAGGAGCCCTGGCTGAGGGAAAACCAGCCCCAGTGTCTAGGCTGGTTTCACGGGACTGGGGCCTATCTAGTGATTGAGGGAATTGTTTAGTGGGCACTCTTGATGGAAAATATCTCCCTTCCAGTCTGCTCCAGAGCCTAGAATTCCCCTAGTAAAGATCTCATTCTTGGGATCTTAAAGATTTTTTTGTTTTTCTGTCAAGTGACCCCTATAAAGTAAATATAACTCAAAGACAAAATATGAATAGCTTTTATTAGGCTATACCATGCACTGCCACCACAGAGCAAGCTGCCTAAACAAAAGCCGAGAAGCAATGCTATCAAGGAAGCAGCACGAGGGTCCTAGACTTGCCACTAATCCTGTCCTTTTGACAAATGTCCCCATGCCACAGACTATTTGTATGAACAATGAAGGTGCCCAGCTGATCTTTGCTTCTGTAAATGGTGCTGGAAAGGAGAGGAGAAGAGCTGCCATGTGGGTGGCATTGTAATGTTCTCACACTGGGCACTGGGGCTGGGGGAGGGAACAGCAAAAGAGAGACTCCATTTCTGTCCTTTATGAGGTTATGATTGAATTGGCAGATAAGTAGACACATATGAAAGTTTGACAAATGCATGCATCTGGCCCCTTTCAAGTGCTCCTACACGGTAACATCATCGCTAAGTACAATAAATCAGGAAAGGGAGGTAATCAAGGCTGGTTTCCTGGAGCTGGTGACTGAGCTGTAAAGTGACTCTATAAGGCTCTGCAGTGGTGGTTCTCAAAGTGTGGTCCCCAGACCAGCAGCTTCAGCATCACTTGGGAACTTGTTAAACATGAAAATTCCTGGGCCCCACCCCAAATTTACTGACCTGTAATCCTTGAGGGGAGGGAGCCCAGCAATCTGCACCCTAATTTGAGAACCTCTGCTGTAAAACCTCTATATTCAAAGTGTAGTCCAAGCTTTGGCTTGCCACAGACCTGCATTTTAACAAGTGCATTGTAACTGGGGAATTCCAGTGCATTCCAAGCATGAGTAATCTGAGCTGCAACTGAGCAGACCTTAGAGCTCCTGAAGCCCAGGGATGGGAGGGGGTGCTGTGTCAGCCATCATCTCCAGACAATTGTTTCACCAGGATTATGGGGTGTGGGTAGGTGGGGGGAGCAGCAATGTGCGATCCTGGGTGTATGGTCTACAGTGCCTTCTCTGCCCTCAGGCCCAGGGCCCAGGGGATGGGGCTGGAAGGACAGATCCCCTTTAGCCCCACCACTGCCTTGTGTTTTACAGGTTAATTTCATCCTTTTTATAAACATTCTGAGAATCCTGATGAGAAAACTTAGAACCCGAGAAACAAGAGGAAATGAAGTGGACCATTATAAGTAAGTGAAGTGCAAAGACCTAAGCATGCTCAATCAGTCCATAAGCCTTTACTGAGCCCCTGTTGTTTACCAACGGGTGCTAGACACTGAGATGGAGGGAAAGGAGAAACCATAACCCAGTTCCAAGGACTTTACCATGTAAATGGTGGGAGGGGGTCCACTGTGACGCTCAGGCACTCACTGCCCTGGGGGTGGGACATAAGAAGACTGGTAGGACCAGGAAACAGAGATTTACCCTTGGGGCAAGGCTGGGGGTTCAGGGACCCCAGCTTAGACAGATTTGTATAGGTGTGTGTACTTTTCATGCGAGAATCACTAGCTTTCATGAGGTTTTCAAGGAGATGTGTGGTCCAGAAGTGCTCTAAAACCTTTAAGATGTTAAAGACAGATGCTGTATTCGTTTGCTAAGGCTGCCATAACAAAAAACTGCAGATGGGTGACTTGGCTTAAACAAGACTAATATTTTCTCACTGTCCTGGAGGCTGGAGTTGGTTTCTCCTAGGCCTCCCTCCTTGGTTTGTAGATGGTAGCCTCTGACTGCATCCTCACATCACATGACCATTTCTCTGTGTTAGGGCATTCCTGGTGTCTCTTCTTATAAGGACACCAGTTGATTGGTCCAAGGCCCCATCCCCCCATCCCCCCTAAAGACCTCCCTTAACGTAGTCACCTCTTTAAGGCCCTATCTGCAAATACCTGCACGTTCTGAGGTCTTGCAGCTTAGAGCTTCAGCTTGTGAATTGGGTTAGCGGGGACATAATTGACTCTGTAACAAATGTTAAAGACAAATCAGTGTCTGTCAGACGCTTTCTCCATGATGTTCTGAGGTTCGAGAATCTGGCAATGGCCTGAGTTACTTGGTGACAGAGTCCCTGGGACATCTTTAATGCAGTGGGCTCCAAAGTAGAGTAAAGCTGGGGACCCAGGATAAACTTGCCAGATAAAACACAGGATGCCCAGTTCAATTTGAATTTTGGATGAACAAGAGTTTTTTACTACTTGCTTCAAAAAAAAATCCCCACTCTCCATTGTTTACCTTAAATTCAAATTGAATTGGGCATCCTGTGCAAATTTGCTAAATTTGGCAACCTTAATAAGGGAAGAAAGTGATTCTCATTTTTTAATCAAATAATAATGCTGGCTTTGCTATTAATAGGTTGGACATAGAGTGGCAATAATATATGTACATAACTTACAAATAAAGTTATTCAGATAGATACGTGGTCAAACTTTTTTACTAATGGAGTGCATGCTCAGCAAGTTTGGGGACTGAATATGGGGATAAGGGTTGTATTTGGATGGTGGGTATGTTCCAACGTATGAGTTGGAGATTTCCCCAAAAAACTCTGGGGACATATCAGGCAAGATGGGGGGTGCATAGCTGTGTGCCTGGGTGGGTGGGGTTGGGGGCAGGAGATGGCAGCATATTTGTGTCTGCAGGCGCCTGGCCAAGTCCACTCTCCTGCTGATTCCCCTCTTTGGGATACACTACATCATCTTTGCCTTCTCCTCAGAGGATGCCATGGAGATCCAGCTGTTTTTTGAATTGGCCCTTGGCTCATTTCAGGTAAGCTTCAGGGATGTGACTTTAAGGTGAAAAGAGGCATTCTCGTTTAGAGAATAATGGAAGCTGTGGAGGGACTGTGGAGCAAGCCAAATCTTCCCAGATGCCTCATCTAGCTGAGACCCAAGAGAAGCTGGGGCAGCACCTCACTGTGCTGTGGTACCCAAATTCCCCGCCAGTCAACTGGGGATGAGACATAAAACTAAAGAGAGAGACTGAATCCAGGGAAAACAAAGGGAAAAGTAACCTGAACACACTACCTTGCACATCCCCCAGTAGTATGTGCACAGTCAAAACCAAGTAAATGTTGAGAACTATGGCTGTGCCAGCAAGTGGGGCAGAAAGATGGGCATTGTGGGAGGGTGGGAGTGAGGTGGCAGGGTATTTGAAAGAGAATAACATCCTCATCTTCAGATTGGGAAGTCCATAAAAATGCCCCAAACTGAAAAATCCAGAAGTAGCAACATCAGCATATTTTTCAGAATCTGTTAAGAGAGTTCCAAGTAGTTGCCTCTGAGGAACAGGAAATGGGAGCAGGGCTGCCAGGAGGCTTGTTTTATGACAAGAATCATTTGACTCTTGCATATTCAACTTATTAAAAATAAAAAACAATCTAAAAAAGAGTGAGGGGAGAAATCACCTATTACTAACTCAACAAGATGTAGTGAGTTTGGAACAAAAAAATAGTAAACATGTTTGGACAGAAAGGGACTCTTAACATGAATTACAAACTTCACCACATTATTTGTTTACTTATACCTAGCTCCTTCCAGAGATAATATGATGTAGCTTTAAGGAAAAACGTACAGAGTCACAGAGAAGGGACATAGTGGATCTCTAGCAACTTGCTGCACTGATGGACAGTGACTGCATTGGGGTATGGGTGGGGACTTGATAATATGGGTAAATGTAGTAACCACATTGTTTTTTCATGTGGAGCCTTCGTAAGAGTGTATATCAATCATACCTTAATAAAAAAAATTTAAAAAATACATACAGAGGACAAAAAATAAGTAGATGAGGGATCAGTGAAAAAAGAAAACCAAAATTGAGTTCATACACAGAAGCAAATTTGATGAAGTCCTGTGATTGCTGGAGAAATAGATTATAAATTTGCTTTGGAGTGTCCCAGTGGCCAAAGCAAAGATAGAAATTCGATCTGTTTTCGAGATTCATGATATCCATAGATGCAAACAATGGAGTTCTCAGGAAAAGCCTAGTGATTTTAGACTTTGGACCTTGAGAGAAATTGCTCCCAGTGGATTTTCCTTAAGAAGCCTTCCTGCCCTCCTGAAGAGTCCTCACCAGGGGAGGCGTTGGCGTCAGGGTAGGGACTTAGAACCTCCCACATTCCCTAAGTTCTGTTCAGAGTGGGTCTGGGCAGGGACACCCTCCTGTCACTTTCAGGTTCCAGGGAAGATACATCACTGGGAATACATTACAGAGGGGAGTCAGGTCTTGTCTAACCCACACCTTCAGACCCCACTCCAGGGCTGTCCCCTCTGCCCTCTTCTTAGACTCTTCTCTGTCCAGGGCCTGCGCCAGTGCCCCAGACCTCCAGAGAACCCAGCCTCTTGTGTAATCCATATTTCTCTTCTCTGGGCTAGAGAGCTTTCACGGCCACCGCTGCTGTAACATGCGGGCAGGCTGGGCTTACAGGGGTCCATTTAGCAGGTTGGGGATTCCAGGTTTCAGTGGAGGAGGGCATTGACTGGGCCAGCAGAGGGCTAGTGAGCTTGCCGAGAGCACTGGAGACCAGGTCTGCCTCCGGTGTGGACTGAGCCTGCCCATCCCTCGGAACTGGAGCTTGCGGGTGGGGCTGTGCACTTCCCCAGATAAGGCCCTCTGGCCTCTTTTTGGGGAAATGGATTGTTGAGAGAAAACTGAAACTGTGTAAATTATGTTGACACAGAAAAGTCTATGGAGAAAAAGAATCTTCAAGAGTTTTCTTTAAAAAGAAACTTTGTTCACATATAAACATCATTTTATTATATATTATACATTTGTAAATTTTGTATTATGGAAAATTTTTTCCTTACCGAAGAGGAAAGTCTAATGAACCTCCATGTAGCCGTCAGGCACTCGTGGCCCGTCCTGTGTCACCACTGCCCTGTCTGCTTCCTCTGGCCCATCAAAACCTTTGTTTATTTCAAATGTGAATATTTTAGTATGTATTTCTAAAAGACAGGAGCTTAAAGAAGAACACACACAGAACCACAATACCATTACCACTGTCATATACTTTTAAAAACTGAAGTCTATTAGCTCTTTCTGATTGTAGAAACAATACTTGTATACTATACAAATTTTGGAAAATAAGGACAATTTTAAAGAAAAAGAAAAAACCATCTGTAGTCTCATAACTCTGAAATAACCTGTTAAAATATGCAGGAAGACACACACAGATCTACAAACATGCCCATATAATTGTTATCATGTGTGTGGTATTGTATCCTGCTGGTTCTGTATAATTCTCTATTCTGTCCATTGTGAACATTTTCCCATGTCATTAAAATTCCTCAAAGACGCCATTTTTAATGATTGTAAAAGAACTGCAATTTCTTACAGTTGCTGGCTCTGTGAGGCCTGTCCTATCTATACTTGGGGCACATCTATCTTTCTCTCACCCAGGCCTCCTGCCCTCACCTGAACAGTGACAACGTGTCCTTGGATCCTTGAGGCCTAGATGTGTGAGACTCAGGAAACCCTTGGCCCAATGAGCTGGGCAGGAGCCTTGGCTGGCAGCCTGACCACCAGGTCTGGGCTGAGCACATACAATGCTAGAGTCCTGCCTAAACCCCTGTAACTCAGTTTCCTCACCTATAAAATGGGAATCCTCCTGTCTACCTCCTAGAGCTTTGGCAAGGATTAAATGAAACACCAGGAATCCAGAATCCCACAGTTACACAGGCCAACCTGTGTCCCAAATCCAGTTCTGTTTCATTTCAAAGCTTGCCCTTCTCGCCCTCTGACTGGGTTCTGATAGGTAATGTCTATTCAAACCACCTGGGAATCTTTCAAAGCTTTTGATGCGTCCACCCCCAGACATTCAGATTTGGGGTACAGAGTGCAACTTGGGCAAAAGTTCCCAAGTACTTCTAATGTGCAGCAAAATTTGGCAACCACTGCCTTGAGTAAGTGTTCCTCCCTCCTCCTCCAAAGCCCTGATTCTGTGTAGCAGTCATTGCTGCCTGGAGTTCTAAAGCAAATCCTTCTATTCTGTCAAGAACTTTGTTAAAATGCCAATAGCAGTCAGACATAACTGTGCCTGCCATAGATGGGCTGCCTTACCGCTCTTTGGGGTCCTTTCCCATGCAGTAAGTGGCAAAGGCAGGCCTGGATGGGATCTAGGGAGGAGGAGTTGGGCCATCTGAGGTCAGAGCTGTGGCACCTGGACCTCTGAAGGGCATGCAGACTGGACCTCAGAGGAGGTAAGCTGCGAGGACATATGCATGACGCAGAGCCTGCTCGCAGCTCATGGTTCTGTGCAGACCTCTTAGACTCAAATCCTGCATCTCAGGCTGGAGTTCTTGCTCTGAGACTCCATACTAGGGTGGGTTGAGAGAAAGGCACCACTGGGAAAACAGCAGCTCCTGATAACAGGGAAGGAGGGTCCTGATAGGCATAGGCCCCACCATGCCAGAGAATACAAAGTGTATGCAACCTGGAGGCCCCTGCCCATGGAGATGCAAGCAGGGGTGTCATGCCCACCGTTGGCCTGCCAGGACCTGCACACAGGCTTCCTTCTGACCAACACACTTCCTTTTGGTTTTTCGATTTGAATATTTATTCATGTTTACACATCTAAAGATTTCCAGCTTATCTTGAAATCAGAGGACCCAGGAAGCCTGGCTCCACCCTCTGCCAGTGGGATTAAGGTGCCACCTCTCCCTATGTCTCCCAGATGGGTCACCTTCCTAATTCAGGTGACTTTCCTGGTCCCCATGGGCCCAAGTTAGCAGCCTCAGCTTTAATGTCACTGATACATGTAGGCTGGTCGATGCCTGCACAGCCAGGGGCACCGTTGAGGGCCCAGAAGAGGCAGCCCCACCCCTCTCACAGGTGAGAGGTGTGGAAGGTTCTAGAACATGACCTAGGGAGAAGGGAGCCTGGGGATGGGGATTAAAGGTGGGAAGAAGTTGCTGGAACAAGGCTGAGCTGGGGCAAACCTGCACTGATCCAGCTGGCTCTGTTCCCTCCACAGGGCCTGGTGGTGGCCGTCCTCTACTGCTTCCTCAATGGGGAGGTAAGCATTCTAGGGGCACCTGGATGCCTGGACCAGCTCCCCAGCCACTGGATTCCAGTTCCAAAGTTGCTGCCTGGAAATGGTGGTGGGGATAGAGGGGTAGGGTGGGGAAGCCTGGGCCTCCTGGCTTGAGCCTGTCTCTAGGAGTCTGAGCTCACTTCATGGCAGTACCAGAACCACCCAGAGACCTTGCTAAAACTATTGCTGGGCCCTAGTCTGTTTCTACTTCATCAAAAATGGATTCCTGGGTCTGGGCTGGAGCCTGAGAGTATTTCTCAAACAAGCATTCCAAGTGATTTTTATCCTTGGGGAAGTTCAGGAAATGGAGGAAAGTGCTGGCACCCAGCCAGTCTCTTGGCTGCTCTGCTGCTTGCTTGATGGGTGATCTCCAGCACTGCCCTTCTTTGGGCCCCAGTCTTGCACCCTGTGAAGTGAGTGACTTGGGGGCTGCACCTTGGCCCAAGGTCTCTGCCCTTGCCCAGAGCATTTGGGTCAGCATACCAGCCTCCTGGCATGCAGCAGCTGGGCAGTCATTAGTTGCATCTGGTATTTCACACATGTAAGGCTTTCCTGTTACGGCCCCACTGTTGATTTTTAGCACACTTGAGTGGGAACAACCTCTAATATTTTCCAAAACACAAGCATCAAGCCTAACCTCAAAAGTTTTGCTGCTAAAACTGGGGACCATGAAGAAAATATCCAAAGAGCAATCATGGCCCCCATATAAGTCCTGAGCTGGGGTGGCTCCATGGGAATGTTTCATCATCCGATGTGATGGTCTGGATGTTGAATTCTGAGTTCGTGGAACAACCACAGCCCCTTTTCCAGGCTGCATGTAGAGACACAGCAGGTCCAGGAGCAGGGACCTCAGTACCTACTGGGTGTGGGGGCTGGAAACGGTCAGTGTGGCCTGCAGGGGAGGGGAAGGCATGACTGCTGGGCAGGAGTGAGTGGGACTCAGCACATGGGGCTCTGCTCCCTGGTTGACAGCTGTTCTCTGGGGACAGGTGCAGCTGGAGGTTCAGAAGAAGTGGAGGCAGTGGCACCTCCATGGGCTCCCCCTGTGCCCTGTGGTCCTTGGCTCTTCCTCCAGCAATGGCATCAGCGGCCTCACCCACAGTACCAAGGCCAGCCCCTCAGAGCAGAGCCGGGGCTCCTGCAGGACCAGTGTCATCTGAGAGGATGGAGGCCGGGACAGGTCCGGGGAGGGCTAACGCTGATGGATGGTCTGTCTGCCCACAGACTTCTTCCTGTGGCTGAGGCCCTCTTCCAGGCCTTGGCTTTGGGGGTGAGGTGGAGATAATTCCTCAGAACAAGGATCTTGGGGCACCACAGGGCGGGAAGAGGGCCTGGGACTTGGGTCTGTTGTGTTCTGGGAAGGGCAGTTTGGGGGCCCAGACGGGGCAGGGAAATATATGGTAGCTGGGTGAGATTTTGTCTGTATTTGTCACTCTTCTCAACCTTGAAACAGAGTGAAAGAGGATGCTCTGGTTCAGTTTCCTACCCCTTTCTAGAGGATGGGGCTTTCCTGACCCCCTGCTCATCTTTAAGATCAAGCTGAGAAGCCCAGAAAACTCGAAGTCAAGGCCTTAGGCCCTAGAAGGACCCTCCCCTCCCATTGCTGCAATTCCCTGTCCAGTAGCTCTCACCCGAGCCTTCAAGACAACAACTGAATTAATCTGATCAAGTCAGAGGCAGTCAGGACAGCCCAAGAGCCCCAGCTGCCTTTTGGTAAACCTAACACAGTATGAGGCACCCCTCTGTTCTTACTGCTTTTTCTCTGTTAGCTGCAGCCCTAGAAGTAGGTAAGGAGGAAATAAGACATGATCCCATTTGATGGAACAATGATAAGTTCACCAAGGTCCTGTGACTTTCCCAAGGAAGGAAATGGCAGAATTTCAGTCCAGAGCTTTGGTTTCAAATCCCCATGCTCCCAAGCAGTGTCTGTGTTATGGGGACGGCCTTTCCCCTTGCCCCAGTGGGGATTTTAACCCCACCCTTTTCTCAGTTCCCTTGAAAATCACTACTCCCTCCCTGCCAGCCACATGAGGATTAAAGAGAACTAAATATTTGAATCCTTTTGTAAAACAGAGCCTACTAGTGCTCTGGTGAAAGCATCCTAGACAACAGAAACAGAGATGTCTCTTCCCCCAGCATAGAGGAAAGGGCACCTCGCTGGTGGGTGGGCCCAGCTCTAGTCATGGCTTTCTGTGACCCTGGACAAGTACTGTCCCTCTCTGGGCCCCGCCTCTGCACTTCTCCCTGCAGAGACAGGAGGCCTCCCCTTTACAGCTTGTATACTCTGGAGTGAAAGACCAGGTGCCCACTTTCCAGGGCTAGGAACCCAGCCTGTGTGGTTGATGAGCTCTGCTCTCTGAAAAACTGACTGGTCCACACCTTTCTCAAGTGATCCCCATGGACTCCACACAGCTTGGAGTAAGTCTTTAAAAAAACACAAGAGGTAGGTATAGGCACCCAGCCCAGGAAGGGGACCTACAGTGATAGGGCAGAGCAGAGACCAAAAACCCATGTGCTTAGCAGCAGCCAGAATGAAGGCCAGAATTCATCAGGTGGGGGAGGGCGAAGGGGCTAGCGTAGAATGAGATGTGCTGAGGGCAACTTCACCTTACTGGGCAGAAAAGGGGCTGCAAAGGGGGCAATTTCATGCATGAAAATGCAGATATGCTGGTAAGGATGGAAATCTCCACTGGTTACTGGTCCCCTTCACCTGCATCCATCCCCAGGATGGTTGTTAATCATCACCCAAGGTCCACGCTTTACCCCCTGGAGTCTAGCAGGTCCAATTTTGTGCTCTTTGAAATGTGTTCTAGGATCAAAAATGGTACCTTAAGGCCATCTGACCCTTTCCAAAGAAGGACATGCAAACACACAAACATGCTCACCTAAGCAAGCATTTTGTATTAGAAGGCAGGTGGGCCCCCTGGAGGCTTGCTCAGAAACTCCTCTTCAAGAGTTAAGGCAAGTCCCCAAAGGGACCGGCAGCTAGCTACTGGAACCTGGGGTTATCCAGGGGTTAGAGAGTCTGTAAATGGCAGGCATCAAGTCACATAAAATTGTTTAAATACCTACTATGTGCAAAAAATTTTGAAGGAAGCCTGAACCCCTCCGGCCAACCCCACCACCAGCATGACTGTAGGTAAAGCAGGTCAATGTGGACAAAGGTCTCCTGAGCTGGTGGAACTCCTAGACACTGACTGCACTCTTAGCTGGAAGAACAACCCTAGGAGGCCCAGGAACCCTACAGCTGAGTCAATAAAACAGGTGTGAACCTCAACTTGGCTGTTCAACTGTCCTGGGCATCAGTTACTCAAGCTGCTTCTAAGTCTATTCCCTTCCTGGGAGGAAGGACTCAAGAAGATGTTTTAAAATGTGTTTCTTCTAAAATCAACATCCTAATAAACTTGGCTAAGTCTGCACAGCTGGTAGCACTGAAGCACTCTCTTGGTGTCTGGCCCAGCAGACCAGCTGCAAAAGGCCCTGTACCATTTCTGGACAACCACCCAAAGATTATTGGCTAAGAGGCAACAGTTTCAAGGTCATTGTCCCACCCCTTCCCCTACCAGAAGTCACATTTGGAAAAGTCCCATGCTGATCTTGTAGAATCTTAGGTCCTTGGGGTGAGGGGGGGTGTTTAAAATTTCCTTGGTTGGCCCCAGGGATGGGTGATGCTGTTGATGTGGAGGCCGCTGATGGCATTCAGGAAGAAGAGAAAGCAGGAGGTGAACTCACACCAGAACATCAAGGTGAGGCCAGTGAGTATGACCTGGTTCCTGAGGAGGACCACAAAGCTCAGAAGCCCCCCAGAGGAGAGGACGAACGAGACAAGGAGCAGGACAGAGCCCATGGCCCACTTGCGATATGCGTGGAGGTCCTCACACACCTGAGACACCATGAGGAGCTCCAGGCCGAAAATGGCGGCCACCACAGCCAAGGCGCCCGTGCTGCGGGCTAGAACCATGCCCGTGGCCAGCCCAGGCACGTGGGCCTGACTCAGGTCCCTGAGGCAGAGCAGACCAGTCTGGTTGGAGGTGGTGCAGAAATTCCACAGCCCAAAGAGGCGGTCCTCAGCCAGGAGCCAGTGGCCATCGCAAATGGCGATGGAGGAAAGGACCACGGCCAGGGCAGCACACGCGATGATGAGGGTCCGGATGAAGGATTCGAAGAAGGACCGGTGGGGCCTCCTATGGGCCAGCAGCCTCTGGGCCTGGAAGACACCATAACCACGGTATGTCAGGGAGGGCCCTGCCACACTCCTTCCAACCTCTTTGGGAACACCCTGAACATGCCTTCCAGCTTCCCACAGCCTATCTTACGTTCCAGCCTTCCGGGACACCCGGAATGCCACCTTCACAAATAGCTTCCTCCCCAGTCTTTCAGCACAGACCCACCTTCTCTGGGGAATCCTTCCCTCATTCTACTGCTCCCTGTTCTCCATTCAAGACCTATAAGCATAAACTGTCCAGTTATTCAAAAGGCAGAAGAGTTCCCTGACCTTTTCTCTTCAATGATCTTTATCATGAGTAAGAAATCAAAATTCCATTGACTGACAGATAAATCCTAGCCCATTCTGAATTCAGAAAACTTGTCTGGCCTGACTACTGTGACCTTCAGCTTGCAGCTTTGTATGCAAAACTTCCCTCACTCTCCCTAGGACGTCCCTGTACACTTCCAATGTGGAACCACCCAGCTGGTTCTGCACTTACACATTCGGCTCAGGACTGTGTTACTATTACCTTGTTTTCCTCAGTACTTAAAGTAATGTTTGCACCTTGCCCTCAGTCTTGCTCAGCCTGCACCCCACCCAGAACTTGCCAACCAAACTATCTGTTCTAGCAGTTTCCTGGTGTGGGGAAACCACGGAGGCTCTCCTTCAGCCCTGGTTTTGGCACTAGAAGAATGCATCCACCTCTCTCCCAGCAAGTGAGGCCAGGGGTCCAGGGGAGGTGTCCCTTATCTCACAGCCCTGGCATATCACCCAGGTGTCATTTCCAAACCCCCAACCCAGAAAGCAAAAGAAAAAAGTATTTCTAAGAGTAAAACTTCTTGCCACTGACCAAAAGCTCTGCATGATCTGACCTGGCTTCTTGTCCAACTTCATCCTCCAGCACTCTCCCTGGCCACCTCCCTCAGGCACAGCAGCTCCTTTGACGCTAGGACAAGCCCAGAACCTTCTTCAGACCCACTGGTCTCTCCAGCCTGCCTCCTTTTCTCCATTCATGTCACAGCTGAATATCACCTCCTCAGAATGCCACCTGCCTATCCAACCCAAACCAGGTCCCCTCTCATCATTTTCCATCAGGCACCTATTTGTTTTATTCACTGTTCTGATTGCATGCTATCCACTCTTCCAATCTGTAGTTACATACTGTCTATCTCAAGAGACTGTGCTCTCCAATTAGGTGGGTCCTCACATTTAGACACTGCTGTGTCCCTAGTACCTGGCACAGAGCTTGACCTGGGCATTCAGTGGGTACTCAAGATCAGCCATGGAATATATGAACAGTCGAGTTTGTAACACTGTCACTCCCACCTGAAGGTCCCTTTAAACCAAATCTCCTGCCCAGTCATAAGTTAAATTACACTCTTACGGTGTGCATGGAAGCAAGCCAGGTTACTCCTAAATTTGGAAAGTAAGCCGAACAGCTCATGTGTGACAGTCACTGCCGGGAAACTGAGCAGGAATTATGGGGTGCACCCCATGCCATGTGCAAATTGAGGCTTCCAGATGCAGGTTGGCTACACACATCAGTGTGGGACAGACAGCAAAGCTAGGCTCCTGGGAGACCGCTATGGTCAGTGCCCCCGCAGAACAGCAGGCTGCTCCCAACCTGCCCACAATGCAGGAGCTATCGCTACTTACAGCCCCAGGGATACATAAATAAGGACCCCCATCCACCCCTTTGCTTTTAGCACTTTTGCCTAAGTAGGGTCCTATTTACTTTTTTTTTTATTAATTATTTTACTTAAGTATAGTTGATAAACAGTATTACACTGGTTCTATTTACTCCTAAAGCAGTGAGGTTGGTAGAGTAGAAAGCTCTGTGAGGGTTATGTGAAGAGGGAAACTGTGTGATGCAGAGGTCAGGTGACTTGCCTAAGATTACTCATCTAAATCACTGTAAAGTCTGTGCTGGCTCCTGGACAGTGGATCATCTGCAGGGCATGGGATGCAGCCATAAATACTGAGTTGGGCCTTCCAAGTACAGGGTGTATGTGTTAAGGGCTCAGTATTACTGGCCAGGAAAATGATTACAGCATATGGGAATGCCCATGGGATCAGGACCCCAACTCAGATCCTGAGCCAAAGGCAGCCAGGGATGCTGTAAAGCACACCCAGGTGAAGTCTGGGCTGTGGGTCTCAAACTGTGACCCTTGCTACCTACGGTGGGGAAGCAGGGCGACCAGGGCCCCTTCCTTACTTCAACCACAACAGTTCCGTTACCTGCTGGAGATACTGGGAGTCTAGGGTCTGTATTACATTTCATTAGAAAAAAATGACTCTATGCTAAAAACAAACCAAGGAAACTATGGAACCTCTAGTGTCTACAAACCACTAATGGTGTTTGTCCATGGATGCTTTCTTAAACTCTTTGGCCCTTATTTTCTTATTTAAAAAATGGCACTGTTGATCCCTTTGGGACAGCAGTAGCCATGAAGGCACTTAGCAGGACTCTAACACCCCTAGACGTTGATAAGTTCCTAAGATGGGAGAACCCCAGATGCTGGGAACAAGTCACAAGAACAGAGGATCCAGACACCTTTGACCCCTGACCTCTTGTTGCCTGGGGAACAGGCATGTCCTATTGCTCCTGCAGCCCCACCTGTCCTGGGCACAGACTGGACTTCAATTTACAGATCCTCAGACACCACACTGGGATCAGAAAGATAAGACAGCTTATGTCATTTATCTTCTCCCTCCCATCCCAAGGCAAGACTTTATTTGAACTCTGACCCCCAACAAAACTCCTGAGGATTAAATAAGATTGTGTATATAAAGGTCCTTGGGGAGCTCTTAGTAAAAACAATAATGCACATTGGAGTCTTCCTTCCTCACCACCCTTGACACACTCCAGCTGCAGGAACCTCTGCTGGCTTTCAGTGATCCAGGACCTCAAATCCTCTCCCGGAGGGTGGCCAGGAAGTAGTGTGGTCAGTGCAGGGCACTGGGCAAGAGGGAAGGAGGGATATCTAGTCCTGCCTCTGACCTGCTGCTCCCAGCTCTGTGACCATGGGCTGGCTACTTTAATCTCTTTAGGGCCTTGACTTCTTCTGCTTAAAAAAAGATAAGCGCTTTCCTTTTTTTCAACTGTAACCCTGGATGATTTCTAGTCCTAGACCAGTGTCACTTGAGCCTCCTGGACCAGAGTCCAATGCCAATGTCTTCTCTTCCTCTACAACCAGGACCCCATCTGCTCCCCTTGGCCCCCAGTCAGGCTGTTCACTACTCATTCTCCACCTCCCAACAAGGGTCCATACCTGCTCTCACCTCCCCCCACTCTGGTGCAGGTCAGGCCCTCACCATCATTAGCCAGAAATTTCTTCAACAGCTCCATAAAGGAGTTAGCCTACCACTGTCCCTGGACCTGCTGCCCAGCCTTGCATGCATAACCCAGTCACTGGTCAGGCAGGCGGCACACAAGCCTGCCAGTCTTCTTTCTAGCCCTTTACCTCTGGCAAGTTACTGAAACCCTCTCTGTCTCTCGGTTTCCTCACCTATAAATGGAGGTAACAATAGCTGCCTAGTCCTGTGGTGTAGTGGGGCTGAAATAAGCCATCACCTCAAGTGCTTGTAACATTGGATAGGTGCCTCTAGGCCAAGCTACTAATGTCCTGCAGAAGCAGTGCTTGCCCCCTTGGGGAAGAGAACCCAGGGCTTCACCTCCACTACCCCTGGGCCTCCTCCCTCTTCCTCCAACAACTTGGTCCCCTTTCCTCGTTCTCAGTCTTCCTGCCCCTTCCAGCCTGCAAAAAGCCACCCCTACCCCCCACCCCCAGTTAATCCCACCGGCAACTTTTGCATCTCTTAATTTAGCTCTCACTTCCTGGTACTTCTTCCGAATCCTGTTTACAAGTCTCTCTACTCAACTGGACAGCTAGCTCCTAGACAGGGGAGACCACACCCAGTCCCACCCTCCTCACTGCCTGTCCCCTTCCTCCAGGGCCTATCCCAGAAGACCGCCTGTCAGGACTCAGGATTACGCCCCAGAACAGAGGAGAAATTTCCAACAGCCCCTCACACCCTGTCCCCCCTCAAACTACTGGTCCTAGCTGGAAGGGAGTTTGATGGTGGCCTGTGGGTTGGGTTTCTCCTGTTAGGGAAATGCGAAAGGGTGAGTGGGGCTTTCAGCTAACCAGGCCTGGTTTTGTATCTCAGTTCTGTCGCTTAGCTGGTCATGGTCAGGTTACTTAACCTCTGAGCCTCAGTTACCCCATCTGTAAAATGGGCGGAGCAGTATCTACTGGAGTCGCGGTGGTGGGGTTCTGAGTACTAGCAAGAAGTCCGCGAGCCTCTCTAGTGGTCAGGACAGTACAATTGGAAGGCTCTGGAGGAGGCGGGCTGGTGGAAAGCTTCCGCGGAGAGGAGGTCCGCCAGCAGGGTAGCAGTCCCGCCACCGACCGACTTACCTCCGGGGAGCAGCACGCCCGAGGGCAGCGGCAGGCTCCCAGCCAACGTAAACATCTTGCACCACTCTAAGAAACCAAACCTTCGAGAATGAGGGCCCTCCCCTGCCTTCAGCCTTTTCTCTGAGGTGTCCGCTTGCCCCAGCGAGTCCATCCCAAACCCCAGCACCCCAGACTCAGTTTTGGAGAGGAGAGGTGGTCTTTCTAGCCTCCAACTAAGAAAGTTCTAGCTTTTCCGGAGACGCATCCTCATATTACATACGGCAAGTCTCACTTTGCAAGTGGATTCTGTTTATAATCCACACCAGAGGTGCATCCTTAAAAAAGAGGGGCCCCCTTTGGCGAACCTAATCGGCAGACAGTGGTGACCCCAGTGAGAGGCGGAGAAGCAGAAAAATCCTCCAAAAGAAATCTGGAAGCCTCAAGTGCTTGCAGAGTGGGCCGCAAGCAGAGTCCAAGCCTCAGGAGCGGCGTCGGGGGACCGGCGCTCCGGGTCACTTCCCGCCGCCCGCCTTCCTCCGAACCCCACGTTTGCGACGGGGGCGCGCTCGGCAGAGCACTCGCACCCTCGGCCGCTGCTGGACCTCGCTTGCGGCGCGGAGCCCCATCCTACTCGGCCCGCCCGTGGAGGGCCGGCGCAGCGCCCCGCGGGGCCCCGGCTACCTGCACCGCGATGGCAGTCATGCTGCGCCCGGCATCTGCCTCGAGCTCCCGCCTCCCGCCTCCGGCCGTTCGGCTGTGACAGCCCGTTCCCAGCCGGAGACTTCTCCCCGGGGGCGGGGCGGCAGGGAGGGAGGGGACATGCCGAGGGAGCAATTAACCCCGGGCAGACTGGCCCGGCCCCGCCTCCCTCGGCGGCTCAGTTTATGCTGAGTCAGCGGAGACTGCCCGCAGGATACCCTGGGGAGGGGAGGAGAGGGGAGGGCCGGGCTCGCGGGGAGGGTGCTAGGTCCCAGCCGACGCGGGAGGCCCCTCCGGGTCCGAGGGCAGAGGATCCACACTAGGGGAGGCCAGACCCTGCCGACTTCAGGGCTCGGGGTCACTCCCTTCCGTGCTCCCGAACCTCGAACCTCGGAGGACGGCTTCGTCTGGGGCTCAAATTCCTCGAGGGTCGAGGTCCGCAGCGGCGCTGGCCGGAGGGCCGGAACTTCGGATCCAGCCCCAGCTGGCCGACAACACGCCAGGAGGAGGTGCCGAGGTCCTGGGAGAGGAGGCGGGTGCCCGGGCTCTGCTGTCCCACCAACCTCTGTGCAACCCAGGGCTGCTTTTTTAACGTCTCTGAGCCTCAGTTAATAAGTGGGATAATTGTGAAAGGTCGGGGTCTTGCAAGGCCCTCAGTAAGTGTGAACAGAGGCGAACCTTCGGAGGCAATCCTTCATGGATCAGTTTTCTCAATTACAAAGAGGGATGTATGAACCTGCCGCCCTCCTGGCCTCCTTAGGTACTATGAAAAAGGCAAATAGGACAAAAGAAAAGTCATTGTTTTTCCTTGACCTTTGACGGGGCCTGAGTTCTCCAGGGGGCAGCACATTGTCTTCACACCAAAAAGGAGTGGGGTCCGGGAAAGGGTCCAAGGGCAGCAAATGCCAACTAAGACCCTCCCTTTCCTCATTTGCAGGAAGTGTAAGCTTAAAGCCAGACCCCTTTCTCTTTAACGGGGTAAATTATTTGGCTCATGCAGACAGGGCTTTACCTGAGAATATTCAAAACAGCTTCACTTTTCTCTTGGAACCCCCGCCACCAACAGAAAGGGGAGGGTTAAAAGTTGCCTCTCCATCTCTCAGTTGGATGTTCACAGGTCTACCACTGCTAGAGAGACCTTGTAAAATCCTGAGGCCCACCGGAGGGCCTTGCCCACAGCCCCCTGCATTTGAAGTCCAGTGGCAGACCAGGACTGGATTTAACTGGCAATCCCAATCTGCCACCATTCTGCATCAGAATCACCTGGAAGGCTTGTTAAAACAGATTGCTGGGCCCCACCCTAGAATTTCTGACTGAGTAGATCTGGGGTAAGTACCCCCCTATCTGTCTATCTGTAGCAAGGGGACGCTCTACTGCTGGTCTGAGGACCATGCTTTCAGAGCCACTGAACCAAGGCCCAGCCAAGTCAGCCCCTTTCTGCTGTGGCTTTCCTCCATGGCTGCTACCTGCTTTTGCCCTAATCAAGGGTCCCAGAAGACAGATTGTCTTCTGTCCACAGTCCTGGACTCCAGATGTGAGGTTCACACAGGAAAGGAAGACCTGGCCCTATTGGGGGTCCCTTTTCAGAGCCCTAAAATACTCTGTGGTAGGGACCTTCAGCAGGTCCTGCAGTGTTGCACATGACAAGTAGGGAGTGCCAGGAATTAAACTCAGAATAACTGTCAGGTTGGGTCATCTGTGCCCACCCTGCCCTGTGCTTCCTGATGCCGTCTGAGATTCCTTGTGTGGTCAGCCACATCTGGGGACATGTTGCCTGTTATACTTTCTTGGTAAGAATAGAAAGTTTTGAATCAGTGAAATTTAGAGCAACATGTTTTGTCAGCAAGATAGCTGGAGAAGCAGAAATGACTTAGGAATAATAAGGAGGAAGTGACTGTCATTGTATGACAACTCAGATAATTTCACAGTCATGAGAAGACCTCAGACAGACCTGGGAGTCTGGGTAGAATTTGTGCTGAGGACCAGGGATCAAGTCAATGAGCTGGTTGCCTGGCATGGCCCTCTGCATTCTAGGATCCCAGAGTCTCCCAGTTGCCCTGGGTGCCCAGGGTTTGGGGGACAGGGGTGTGGCAGCACCCAGAGCACTCCCTTAGTGTACCCAACCCTTAGTGAGATGGCAAGAGGTAGATAACTCATGAGGATGACTGTCCAGCCAGGCAAGAGGTTCCCAGTGCCTTAGAGGCCATGGTAGGAGCAGAATTGGGGATGGGATGACAGTGGGACCCTCAGGTGTTAGAACCAGAAACAGCATGGGAGTGAGTGGTGGCCTCTGGGACAACACAGAACCCGTCCTATTCCTTGACTTTCTCTGCTTTTTGTCCAGATAGGTGAAATACTCAACTGGATCCCTCCTGGATCTCTACTTCCAGGCCTAGCCAGTATTAGGAAAAGAGGAATAGCATAAAGAAAGGGAGGAAGTGACTCCCACTCCACCCCTCTTGTCTGATGGAAAAGACCCAGACATTGTTCTTAGAAAGGTCCAAGGCAGGGACCCAGGGACTGGTTAATGAATCAACAAGTCCTAGATCGACAGTCATTCAACAAGCACTCTTCCACTCTCCCACCTTGGAGCCTTTTTATTTACTGCTTCCTTGGTCTGAAATGTACTTCCTCAGGGTATTCACATCTAAGACTCGCCACATCACTACTTGGAGGTCTGGGCTTAGTCAGTTCTTCAGAGAAGCCTACTGTGACCACCATATTGTAAACAACGCCATCTATTCTCTTTTCCCTCACACCATCACCACACACTCACACACATGCAAACACACACACTTGCCCCCTCTCTCTCTACAGTGTAAGCTCCAAGAGGTGAAGGAGTCTGTGTGTTCACAGGTATATCCTTGGTGACTAGGACAGAGCCAGACACATAGTAGGTGCTCAGTAAATATCCGCTGAATACATGAATGAGTTGCTTTACTATTTATTATGTACCCATCACTCTCCTGGCCAATAAGAGACAAAGAAGAAAAAGACAAAGTCTTTGTAGTGGTAAAATGCTGGGGTGCTAGGGTCAAATCTGCCTGCCCTCATTTCTGATCTCAACCTGGCCTCCCCAGTCCAGGCCCACCTCCCCCATCTTTGTTCCTTCCCACCCTGATCCCCTTCATCCTCTCCTCTCCCCATTCTAGGCGCCATCATCTCTAAACCAGATGCCTTTGTAACAGCATCTTGCCTGGCCTCCCAGCCTCCACTCTCACCTGCTCTGTCCCTTCATGCAGCTTCGCATCCTCTTTCCCAAGGCCCATGAAGCTGGAGTTATCTGGCCCCTGCTGGTCCCTTCGCACCTAGTTCCTGTCACTCAGCTCCACAAGCCCTCAGCTCCTGCTACCCTTGCCTGCTTGGGCCTTGGGTGGGAAACGAGTTAGGCTTCTGTACTCCCCAGCTCAGCTTCTCTTTGTTTCCTGGGTAGTCTTGTTTCCCTCCCTAAAACATGTAAGCTCCCTGGGAGCTGGAACGGTCTTTCATAAAATTTGCAAGCTAATGGACCAGACTTCAGATGTATCCTGAGCCAATTACTTCCTCTCTGCAAGCCTGAATTTTCTGTCAAATGGGGAAACAAATCACTCTTGTTGAGGGTCTCAGGAGTCTGGGAATGCCCAGCAGTCTGCTGGCATTGGAGTGCTCAGTAACTTAGGATCTTGACCATCCAGTGTCCCTGATTCAAGAGAACCTTAGATCAGAGAGACTGTTTCACCTCAATAGTTAGAGAGCTTCATTCTGAAGGGAAAGATTTTCTGGAGTTTTTTCCTTTGAGGAGTCCAGGTTGCAGGGCAGGAGGTCCAGGTTGAAGACCCAGAGGCGATAACAGGGTCTTCCTTTCTCCTCACCGCTCCTCCCCAGTCTCAGGCTGGTCCCACTCCCTCTGCACCCAGCCTTCCCTGCCCTTTGCCTCCTCTGCTTTGAGCTCTAGCCCTGCATTCTGACCTATCTCCTCGAGGGAGCCCAGATTGCAACACAGCCCTTGTTTACTGCATTCTAGTATGGCTGGGGGCCAAGGGGCTTCCCTGCAGGGCCCTGTGGGTAGCCTCTATCAGGCCTTCCCTCCAGGTAGCCTCAGGTGTGATTTTTATCCTGCCTACAGTAGCTTTACTAAACCCCAGAACACGGGGGACGTGGGGAGGAGGGTCGGGGCTGCAATGACTGAAGAAGCAGAATTTGGTATCTTTCCTGAATGTCTCTGTATTTCAAAACTTACCCCTCTCCCAAGGTTTTTGAAAGTGATGAGGCGTGATGAGGGTGGCCTTTCTGTAGGGTTCCACTTTCTAGAGTCAAGTCCTAGAGATGGGATCCTTCTAGGGCACCGGGACCCAAAGATTTCTAAGATAACCTTGCACCCATGTGGGGAAGACTTCTAGCACCTTCTCTGCAGGTTTAGACATTGGATTTGTGAGCACACAGGCAACCAGTCTCTTAGGGATGTTAACCAAACACATCTGGAATGATTGCCTAGAGCAGACTACCAGCCCATCCCTTCCTGAAATGGCTCTGTGTTCTTCCCTAATCAGCACCTTACCCAGGATCAAAGTACCTGGGAAGCAAGTTAGGCACAAGGAATTTGTTGGTGAGCACAGACTGATGACAAGGGAGGTTAAATGGTTCAGAGAGACTTTGCCTAAGCTCTGGGGAAGCCCTCCATGAAGTTCCTGAGATATGATGTTTACAAGGAAAGCAGGATGGGCCAAAGGGTGTGGGAGTGATAAAGGAGACAAGGAACTTTAGGGAAGTCACTGGGAGTGTATGGTTTCCTCAGAAGAGGGGTGGCAGCCTCTGCACACTGGCCATCTACCATCCTTAGTCTGTGGACGTGTTTTATTTTGTCCACAGAGTGTTTTTAATTAAAAGCAAAAAATGTTGTCAATTCAAAAATTGGGAGATTTTACATTAAACTCAGGATTTCTGGCTTCACCCTTGGAAAGATTGTACCCTGTTGGCCCCACCAGTCTTTATCTGTGGTCAAGTGTGGGTAAAATTGCAGTATTTCCAGAACCTCTCCCTTGGCCTGTACATCTCCATATCAATAGGTATTTCCAAGGGGGGAGAGAAGTAACCATCTCCACATCAATAGGTGATTACAAGGGTAGGGGAAGCAAAGGT